TTATTAAAAATGAATTTATAATAACTAAAATTTCTTCTATATAGTGTTGAATTTTTATTTTTCTATATAGCGTTGAATTTTTATTTTTTAATAAGACCAAATATATATTAATGTTTAACTGTAATGCAATTACTATTTATAATTATAAAAAGTTGTATTTATTAAAAATGAATTTATAATAACTAAAATTTCTTCTATATAGTGTTGAATTTTTATTTTTCTATATAGCGTTGAATTTTTATTTTTTAATAAGACCAAATATATATTAATGTTTAACTGTAATGCAATTACTATTTATAATTATAAAAAGTTGTATTTATTAAAAATGAATTTATAATAACTAAAATTTCTTCTATATAGTGTTGAATTTTTATTTTTCTATATAGCGTTGAATTTTTATTTTTTAATAAGACCAAATATATATTAATGTTTAACTGTAATGCAATTGCTATATATAATTATAAAAAGTTGTATTTATTTAAAATGAATTTATAATAACTAAAATGTATTCTATATAGTGTTGAATTTTTATTTTTCTATATAGTGTTGAATTTTTTTTTTAATAAGACCAAATATATATTAATGTTTAACTGTAATGCAATTGCTATATATAATTATAAAAAGTTGTATTTATTTAAAATGAATTTATAATAACTAAAATTGCTTCTATATACCAATTTAAACTATAGCAAATATTGGCCACTATAGTATAGCCAAATATCTGAAATGTAAAGAAAAAGAAAGAAAGAAAAAATAAATAAATAAATAAAACAACTAACTAAACAGCTTACTGGGTATTTCTTTCATAGCTTGTTTGTTCACAATTGCATTATTGGGAAATAACCAAATGGGATTTCACAAACTGGTAAGCAGCTGGTAAGTCTGCACTGGAGGGAGTTTAGTAGTTTTGATACCATACACTTCAAAGAATTTCTCAGAACTCCATGCTGACACTGACATTTGTCTTGCTTTGTTTAGCTGCCAGCAGTGGGATGTGAAGATATTTTATGTTTTTCTCAATGCAGTTCCTCAAGCATGACACATCACCTTATTTTCAGCAGAACTGGCTGGTTGACAAGATGCCATGGGAGTATTCCTCTCACACACTTGAGCAAGCCATTTTAATTAGATAAAAATGTGTGAATAAGCACAATGTTTTGGAATAGGGTTGAAGATAAGCATGATTTGTGTTCTGTGAATCATGATCTATTTACGTATTTCTTGCCCACAAATTGCTATTAACAAAATGGTCAGAAAAATTGGTTTCTCATAACTGATATACCTTTCTGTGCTGTGCACAGCTTAACCGCACACATCTTTAAGCTATGCTTCACTATGTCAGCCTCATATCCTCCCTAAACACCTCACCCATTTCTTACACCTACAGGAAACATGATGAATCCTGGCAAAATGTCAGAGAAGGACTTATAAAATGTAAAATTAAAATTAAAAAGGTGAAAAATTAGGGTGAGCATTACTTTTGCCATATTATCAGATAATGCAACAAATCTAATCTGGTTCAAATCTAACCAAGGAAAAGTTTTCAGCATTGCTTGTGAAGTTATTAAAATCTCTGACACATTTCCTTTTTATATTTGTAATAGGTACTCCTTTGTACACTGAAGCAATTGACATTTCTGAGAAAATGTTTATTCCGTTCAATGTAACTTTAGTAAACTTTGTTGACAGCCATTCCTGTTTTGACTATCCTCTGTTTTGATGTTTGAATTCGTATCATGGGGGAGTTTATATAAAATAAAGACAGATAACATTAGGCCTTTATCTCCATTCTTCAAGCTCTACTTGACTAACCAGCTTTGACCCCTCCTCTCATTCCCCTTCCATCCCTTTAAATCTAGACACGGCCTTGCAGTATTTTAAAGCTCCCATCAAGACTGAAGAAAAGAGAGCAAATTTGCAAACAGGAAAGAAGGACCTTTTCTTTAACTTCGAAAAATAACCATGGTTCGGAAAAGCACACTTGTAACTACTTTGATTCTTCATCTAATTTCATTGGAAGGTATGTGCTTTATTGACAAAACTTTATTCTGTTTATTGTCTTCTAATTTTGGAGCATCTTCTAAATGAATAAATGTAAACATAAATGGAAGTATTTCTCTAATAATGTCCATTGTGGTACTCACACATTGCATTCAGATATGTTTGTGTTTCATTCTCTGACTTTCTTGTAGTAATACATTTAAGATGTATTAATCATCCTCCCCAATAAAGCGACTTTTTGGTATAATATGTATTTATGTCTTGTATTTATTCCATTTAGGGGGACAGGGCATTGACCCTGATGTAATGCTGAAATCATCCTTCCCTCCAGCCAGACCGTCGGTTACCAATATCAATGCGGTCTGTCTTTATGGCAGTGGTCGTCCCAGATATCCTGCCAGCTATTTCCCTTCATCCAGTCACGCTTATGCTCGTCGTGCTATAAATGCAGTCAACAGGCTGGAGTCGTGGTTTGATCAGTGCTGCCCCCAAGGGTCCCTTGGAAATGAACAGATCCTTTGCTGTGTGGAACAGGCGGTGCGTACACAGATTGAGAAACGTGCCCAAACAGAAGTAATGTTACTATATCGCTGCTGAACAGAAATATAATGATGTCTTTTGTTTGTGTTTGCAGTGGAAAAATACCTTGTCCTATTTCTGTCTTGAGGAATACTCCACCATGACTTTGGTCCATGAGTGCTGTGAAAAGAATGGAGAAGAACGGTGGAACTGCTTTGCAAGTCAGACTCCTAACCCTTCCTACCAACCCCTGTGTGGTTACACTGCCCCACCTGACAAGATTTTCACCTGGGACCCCAACACCTGTTAAAGGTCTTACTGCGATATGCTTTTATTTCATTTAGCAGCACACAACCTGTGTCAGTTAATCACCTGTGAATCACGAGGCATAATATAGCATGCGTTTCATGTAAATTAAACATGCTCAGTGTTCTAGAAAAGCTGGAATGTAACCCTGTGTATCAATAGCCTACATTTATTTTCACATGAATTATTTTATGCCATAGAAAAATATGCAAAAATAAAATGTGCTCATAGCAGTTGAAGTTCAAAATAAAGTGTCAGTTTATTTCCAAAGTGGCAAAATGATTTAAAGAATTGTTTAACCCTTGACAGCACTCGTATATCACGGAGATGTCTATTTGACGTTTTTACATCTGCAAGACGTATTTTTTAGTGTTTGCTTATCTGCGATACGTGATGTCTATAGCTAGGACGTTTCCTATCAGATGTCAAATGGACGTTATAAAAATGTCTTTAAGATGATTTAGAATGTACTGTATGTAAAACTGACATCTTACAGACGTCTATCAGATGTTTGTACACAGCAGATGCTTTCCAGATGAAGCGATCTTTAACAGACATCTTGCAGACGTATGTGTGCTATCTGGGAACATTAGATTTTTCCTTTGAGAAAATAACAGTTGCAACTAAGATGTAATCTTTCATGTCACATTGCAAGGCAGATGTATTTTCAGCTCAGTAGTTATTTAAGATTGCTTTATGTTGGATGTGGCATTGTTTAGGTTTAGGCTATTTAAAATCATTAGCAGCTGCATCATAAAACACTTTTAAATGATTCATCATGTAGACTTTCAATACAATATCAAAGATCAGTTCTAGATATAGTCCTGGCTCTAAAATCAGACTGGCTGAGGCGCAACTGAATTCTATATTAATATGCCAACAATTTACTATGTTGCTTGGTAAAAGTTTAGGTTAATGGACTGAATTCTTAACGAAGTAAATAATGAACTATATTCTTATGATAATAATTTATTCTAATATTATTATGTTAAATTATTTATTGACCATTCATGTCTTTTATCAGAGGCTAGCTGTTGTCACTGTTTTATGAAATCAAAAAAAGAGGTTGTGTTACAGGTCCCTAGTGATTAATCGCCTCAATTTAACTCCAAGGTTTAAGTTTATGAATGAACAATGTCTTCATTGAGCCGAAGGAAAAAAAACGATTTAGACGAAACATTCAATAGTTAAATTTGGACTATTCTGTATCAGTCGAGTAGAAAGCCAGTTTGTCCCAGAATGAGCCATTTCTACTGGTGTGTGAGTTCAACCATAGACATAATAAATACCTAGACTCCTCATTGGCCGCTCGACCGCACGTCAACGTCGCCGCCATATTGGTGCGGGCAACTCTCATGTCAGGACAGGCGAAAACATACCTGACTCGTCGGCAGCTTGGGCATCTACAAACCGTCGCACAATAATAAAAACAGATCTCGGCGTATTATCTTTCACAGGTAAGACTGAACAGTTGTTTCTGTATGTTTTTGGTCATTTTTAGCTTTATGTTGACAGCTTAATTAGCCACCAGTGTCAGACTATTAATAGCTAGCGATATCCTAGTAAGCTGTGAAAGCTGAGACTTTATATGAAATCAAAG